TCATCATCGTTTTTATTCCAATGAAAATAAATGCAGTTTTATGAAATATACCTGTCGTGACAGGTATACGATTTAATAAATTTAACATTTAAATAAGTATTTAAAAAAAAAAAATTATTTTTTATTTAGACATTATTATTTACTGATCCCTAATGGGGTGATTATTAATGTTGTTGTTGTTGTTTTACGTCAAAAAAAGACAGATAGAGAGAGATAGAGAGAGAGAAACTAAAGTGTAAATACAAACAGTAGAGAGAGAGAGAGAATTAAAATATAAATACAAAAAAAGGAGAGAAAAAAAAGGTAGAGAATTAAAATATAAGTTCAAACAGGAGAAAGAACGAGAGAGAGAAACTAAAGTATAATTCAAACAGGAAATAGAGAGAGAAAGAAACCAATGTATAAGTACAAACAGAAGAGTGATAGAAAATTAAAATATAAATACAAACAGGAGAGGCAAAGAATTAAAATATAAACACAAAGAGGAGAGATAGAGAGAGAAACTAGAATATGAATACAAATAGGAGATACATAGAGATAGAAAGAGAGAGAGATAGATGATTGAAAAGAAATAATGAGGATTCATTAATAGTTTTAATTTAACGTAAAATTATAATAAAAAAAAAAAAAAAAAAAAACGAAAAGAAGAAAGAAAAACCATAGTCTCATACGTAGTCATTGAATTTATATATTTTTTTAAAAAGTAACAGTTGCTTTTATTTTTCCTTTTTTTATATATAAAGAGAAAGTGGGTTTCAATTACAATTGTATTTTTTACAGGTTTTTTTTTATTCATAGTGTGTTAAGTCGATTGTTTGAAAAGTTAATAAGATTTTTTTTTTTTTTTTTTTTTTTTTTTTTAAACCGCACCTAAATCCTAAGAAGAGAAAAGTTTTCTAAATATAAATTCTAAAATTTAATTTTTTTTAAACAAACGAACTAACCAACTAACTCATTCACTCATTCACTGACTACTTGAAATTCGTTTTTTTTCGTTCATAACAAGTTTTAAATATTTTTTGGGTTAATATTTTTACGTATTTCATAACTTTTTCATAAAATTTACAAACAAACACTTTTATCGCGTTACCTTTTTAAAACCCTTTTAACTTTTCATTACGTTTTTAAAAAACTTTTGTAGACCGAAAAAAAAAAAATTTTCCGGCTCGAACATTTTAATTAATGTTTTAATTATTGTCGAGAATGTTTGTACGTGCGCGAACGCGTCTGCCCACTACCACCGAACCGAACGTCCGTAGGTGTAAATTTTTTAAATTTTTGTTTTGTCACGATGACAAACGTTGTTGTTGTTGTGGTTGTTGTCTTACTTTTTAAAAACTTTAATTAATCATTTTTTTATTATTGTTGGAATTTTTTTCTCTCTTCCTTCGTTTTCCCTGTCATTATTATTATAATTATTATTTATTTATTTAAATAACTTATCGATTTTTTTTTGTTTGCTATAATAAGGCAATCAATCAATCAATTTCACTCGTGGATTCTTCACGTTCGTCAAAAAAAAAAAAGGTTGTTAATCATTATCAGCAAATAACAAACAAGTTTGTAGACGTGTGCGCGTGTGTGTGTGTGTGTGTGATATATAAACGTTTGTCGTCGCTAAAAAATAATGAGTGAAATTATTACGGGGGGGAAGGGGAGGAGAGGGGGAATT